CAAGTAACAACAACAATGCAAATGGTTGGTACTCCAAACGAGATTGATAACACCACATGCACCATTTTTTTGTACCATTGGCATCAACCTCAGTCAAATTCAGGGTTCAAGGTTTGAGTGGGTGCCAAACTAGGGGACAAGCCAAGGAAGTAGGCTAACCTGATGACTAAATGGGTAGCGCACAAGACGACAAAAGTGATAAGGGTAACGTCGACCGTGGGTGACCAAGAACAAATGGTGGTCATGTTCTGAGGCGGAGATTATCAAATTGATGGTTCGATACTGTTAGGTTAGCTTGACATCAGCAGGATCTAGCGTCTGCAAACCAAGGAAGGAGAGCAACGGGAGTTAGTCAAGGCACACATGTTGGATCAAAAGGGGGGAAATAATAACTCGTTGTTTTGGATTTGCATCATACGAGTTCGTCATTTAAAAAATATCAGAGGGAGTACGTCAAACAATACACTAAAACTTTCTATGATTTCATGCATTCCAAACGTTTTTAACCTGATTTGATTTCACAACCATTGATGATGTCTTCTAAGAGTAGCTAATAGTCAAAATATACTTCTAGAGACTTACTCAAATCCAAATACACCTCAACAAAAGTAATTGAGGGGGTAGCAAATAATCTACTCTATATAGCCCTCCATTTCAAAACATATATATGGCTAGTTTGATTTGTTGTGGTCATCAAGATCATATCTTGACATTTTTATACTGCATCGGTCATGGCTATAAAATTTACACAATATGAAAGTACTTTTAAATGCGAATCTAGTAATACTAAATGCATGTGCCATAGTCTCTACACTATTAAGCTATGGTTCATCAAATATACATTATGAAAGATAAGTATGTACACCGGTCTGAAGTCCCAACAATAATGACCTATCCTTGTAAAAGGACATGCTTTGCAAGGGCATGCAAGTTAGCGGCAGCTACCCTTGTTATCCTATCCTATCTTCTCCAACCTTGTGTGTCGATATATCCTTGGCTTGGATTTGATTGGGATGCTCCCTCTAGACCCCTCCTTACAAAGGGGATATGTCTTCTTTCATCTCTTTTCCTTTCATTCACTGGTTAGAAATTTAAGTCCATTAATACATTAGCATATTCAGTGTGTCACCTTAACTAGCAATATCCGTAGGAATATACTACAAAACAAAATATAGATTATGAAACTATGTTCACGATGGATATATGACATGTTTGGATACCAAAGCTAATTGTTAGCTAGCTAAAAATTAGCTCTAGTGCATCAAATAGGAGAGCTAATAGGTGGCCTAATTTTTTAGCCAAGTGTTCAACTAGCCAGCTAGCTAGATAACTATAAGCTAATTTAAGCTAATTTTTAGTCAACTAGTAACTAGCCATGTGTATCCCAACAAACCAATAGTGGTGTCAGTTCTATATTGTCAAGACTACTCAAAATTTTATATATTTGCAGACAAAGGTAAAAAAAGAAATTTGACTTAAAACAATCTATGGACTTGAAGTTTTTGTTCTATAATAGTGTTAGGTCTCTTCTCGTTCCTTTTATACAAGTCCAATTCTAACCTCTAATAATGACCCCAACAACATTTGTACCACATACACCTCATCTCCATCAGACCATCTTGATTTTCACGTTGCACATGTTTGTTTGTTTTTTTAATTCCACCTTGCACAGGTTAGTGATGTGGCTTAAGCATCTCCGTCCTGGTAGTTTTTTTTTTCGTCTCATGTCGCAATCGCAACGCCAACGGTCGTTATCACCGCCGTCACCTCCGTCAACACAGTGGGTGACCAAGCTACCAAGGTCTGGTGGTGGCCATTGCTGGTCGAGGCGAAGGGTGTCATTTGACAATCCGACACGCGACACCGTGTGGGGCTTGATTAGATTGCAAATTTTTGCAACATGTACATTGTAGTACGTTTCGTTTGTATTTGACAAACTTTGTCTGATCATGGATTAACTAGGCTCAAAAGATCCGTCTCGTGATTTACAATCAAACTGTGTCATTAGTTATTTTTTACCTACATTTAATACTCTATACATGCGTCTAAAAATTGACGTGACGAAGAGAAAATGAAAAAACTTAAATTTGGAGGTGATCTAAACAAAGCCTGGATAGCTTGGCACCGGTAACAGCTGAGCACCTACTAGTACAACCAGAAAGGAGAGCAATAATTCGCTTTGGATTTGCATCGTACTACTAGTTTGTCGTTTACAACTGTAGAAAAGATCGGAGGGAGTACGTCGAACAATCTGCTAATGCTAAAACTATCGATGATTTCAGAGACTAACTTAGATGGTGTTAATTTGACTCATTATCTTCTTCCTAAACCGCCCGTCTTCTTTGACCGAATGCGAATAGTAAGGGTGTCTCCACCATTGCACCCAAAAGGGGGACAGCACCTAACGCTACTTCTGAAGAGATGATTTTTTTAAAAACAAAACAAACAAAAAAACTCATCCAGATTAAAATATAAAAAAAAGTTCTAGAAAAATAATTTCCAATTACATGAAGCAGCCACTGCCACGAGGTGCATAAGGCCTGAATTACTCGGAGTGACTGTACTCACAGAGCAGATATAAATAAGCCGAATTTAGAGAAATTCTCCGGATTAGCATCCGACGAAGGTATCGAAAGGTTCATTGCAAGTACAGCAAACACTATTGCTGGAGAATGACGATATCAAACCCGTTCGCTTGGCTGAATTGAGTTGAAAAAACAAGTAAAAACACTATTCCGGCTGAATTGTTATGAGAAAAAATACTGTTCCGGTTGAAAAAAGAAGCTGAATAAGCTGGATTTTAAAACAAACGAACGGGGTAAGATCTCCAAGGCTCTCCCTCATGGACAACGCGGTTCTAGTAGAGGTAGAAAAATGAGTCATGAATATAAAAATGACACTCGAAAGATTGGCTCCTTGACTATAATGACATTCGGATGGATGACAAATAGGTCCATCTATGTCTATGAATATAGGTCCAGTGTCAAATCTCCAAACGATCGATGTTTCGAATCCCATTTTTACGACGAATATTATAGGATTTGCCACACTCTGTTTCGGCCGGAAAAAAGAAGCCGCCGGATTTAAGTAAGCCGAACGGGGCTAAACCTCTGCAAAGATGATGAACCGAAACGGGCATCTTTGAACCAGAAATGTACTCTGATCAAGCAAGAACTACAAAAGTCTTATGCCATGGCTGCCAAGCAATTGTGCCCAGGACCACAAGAGTTCCTGGGAAGACTTGTAATCACAGTTCGCATAGGCACAGCCGCACAGATGCAATGCAACCCAGGAAAAGTGTGACTTCAATCTTGCAAGCACTGGATACATCTGGCCACCGTGATAACCTCGGCCTTGGTCCTCCATGGCGTGGAAGCAGCGCCGGAGCAAGGACAACCAGGACGGGACAACATCGCCGGACGCGCACCGAAGCAAGGGCGACCCCAGTCCGAGGAGATGAAGAGGGACGCTAGTAAGCTGCTCGGCAACAAAGCAAAGTTGAGGAGGCGCACCGGAGCCCGACGAGGAGGAGAGCCGGCGGCGGTGCGAGGTGGACAGACAGATCCGGGGCGGCGGCGAACGGAGAGCGGATCGCGACCGGGGTGAGAACAAGCCAGGCCACAAACCGCCGCAAAGGAACAATCCGGCGTCGAAGACAGAGCAACGGCTTCTGCTGAAGGGTGACAGATCTCCGCGGTCGGCCAAGCCACACGACCAACCAAGTACACGACAAACTGGGAATCGACCCGGCGCCGGTGGTGGATCCAACTCCACGCCCGTGCCAGTGCGGTTCATTTGTCTTCGTCGCGCCCCATACCCGTGCACCTCAGGCGTTCGTCTTAATGCCAGTGAGGCACACCCCACGCATACTCCTACCCTCTCTGCGCGGCGATCAATGGCGCTCCAGTGCAGCATGGTGGACCGCCAGGTCGTCCATGGAGAAGTGCCCCATGGACAGGCAGGAGTCGGCGAAGTGCTCCCCATGAGCTCAAGGTGGACTGCCGTGCGCTCGACCTCGTAGACGTTGCCACTGCCAAGGAGGTCGAGAAGACATGCTTGGCGAACCGCACCAAGATCTGGACCATCCTCAACGAGCTGAGCAACCACGGTTAGTGTCAGCTTCAGCCTCGAGGTTATGCCTGACCACCAGCAGTTCAGTTCGTCGCTTGAACTCTGGCTTTGCTCTCTCCTGGTCCGTATTTATGCCAATAGTGACCGGTACTATCCTCAATTCTTTAATTTCTGCAAAACAAGTTGCTTGTTGGCAAACTATCTGAAAAATAGACTACATTTAAGTTTCTACTCTGCAAAACTACACTTTACAACCTTGTTTGGTCAGTGGACATATTTGACAGGAACTGACAGGTCACACTTGCATATGACCAGTGCACATTAGTTATTATTATATGGCTAATCTTGGGCTGTATTATGTGCGACCGAGCAAAACTGCACACATCTACTGGCAAAGCAAAAAAGATGATTGCATGTTTGAAGTATGTATCTACCTCGCAGAACAATTGACTTGCATGATCAGGAAACAAAACTAACATAGGGTGGCCTGCATGTCAGTGGCATTGTAAGGCAATGCACGTCGTGATGTGCGGTGAGCACATTAGTCAGATAGCCTATGTTTATAATGCACACAGCCCTAACCAACCTCACATCAGAGTGTGTCCTTCCCACATGGCAAACACAACATTGTTCGGTGCTACAATGTTAGAACACCTCATTATGATCCATAGGAAAGTGACAGGGTAGAGCTCCTTGATCAACTTGGCAGTTGGCAAGATGTGCAGATAAGTGGAATGATAACTTAAGTGTATAGTTTTCTATTAGTTTTACCAGTAAGTGAGAAATTTGTGGATTTGCCATGATTTTCAATTTTGGCCAGTGGTGCACCAATTACGACAAATTGGTGCACCATTTAAATTTACTTGTTGCAAATATTGTTTCATTCGTATACCATAGAACTTGTGACATATCAATGCACTAAATGTCAGGTTACATACCCAAACATGCTGGAATGGTTTGAAGGGCTCGGGGTGGAGATGGAGATATCCGACATGTCCTTCTCAGTGAGCACGCAATTGGGGACCAGCGCCAGCAGATGCGAGTGGGGCAGCCGCAATGGCATCTCAGGCCTCTTAGCACAGAAAAGCAATGCACTCAACCCTAGTTTTTGGCGCATGATTCGTGAGATACTCAAGTTCAAGAACGATGCTCTCAAGTGATAATACATCTCGATCTCATTCTGAATAACTAGCATTAACTTTGGTGCCACTGCATCGTTTACTTACAACTAATATATAATAACCCAGAACTGATGCTTGTTTTTGCAGGTACTTGGAGGACCATGAAAACAACCCTGATATGGACCGGAATGAGACTCTCCAGCAATTCATTCAGTCTCATGGATATTCTCAGTTCTTCCAAGAGGCTTACCTTGTACTTCTTCTCTGTTCTTTATTTGTCTATATGTTATAAGTTTGCAGCAAATTAAAATGGCATATTTGCTTTGCTGCAGATCCCGATCTGTGCGTGTATATGGTCATGTCCATCGCAGGGAGTGTTGGGATTCTCTGCTTTCTTTGTGCTCTCATTCTGCCGTAACCATCATCTTCTTCAGGTGAGCAAGCTTGTTAATTAGGCTGACTAATTTTCTGCTATGGATGCTAATTTTTTCTCTTGCGTTTTAACTGTGCTTTCAGTTGTTCGGTCGCCCCCAGTGGCTCACCGTGAAGGGTCGTTCGCACTCCTATGTGCACAAGGTGCTGTCCTGTAGTCCCTTTTCTCTCTTCACCCCCCTTAGAAGAATAAATTGTAAAAAAAGATGATTGATCAATTCAAGTAGTGCACACCAGCAGGTAAGGGAGGAGTTGGAAAGTATGGATTGCCAAATTAAAACCAGCTGCGAAATCAAATCTGTTTCTAGTTCTGAGGGAGGTACTGCCAATGCAAGCTCTCTATCCAGAATTTCTTCTGATTATCATCTGGTAACTAATCCAAAACAAGTGATCGGTATTGTTTTGTTTGCCTCAGGTTTCAGGGTTACAGTGTTTGATGGTTCAGAGGAGACGTATGACAGAATCATATTTGGTGTCCACGCACCTGATGCTCTAAAGATTCTAGGAGCTGAAGCAACACACGAAGAATTGAGAATCCTAGGAGCTTTTCAGTATGTCTACAGGTAATGCATGCTATGCGCCTACAGATCCAGGTTTGCTTGGTTGGATCTGATCTCCATCTGCACCTTCACTGCAGTGATATATACCTCCATTCCGATAAAAGCTTGATGCCACGGAGTTTGTCTGCTTGGAGTTCCTGGAACTTCCTGGGCACGACAAGCAAGGGGGTTTGTGTAACCTACTGGCTAAATCTGCTTCAGGTAGTTACCTTGCCTTAACATGGATAGCAGCAACTAGAATGTATTGTTGCTTAATATATTTATGTATATAGCACTATATACTTTGATTAATAGATCCTTATTGGAATATTTTCTAGAACATAGAATCTACAGGCAGGCCTTTTCTGGTGACGCTGAATCCTCCTCATGTCCCAGACCACGTCTTGCTTAAATGGTACACTAGCCACCCTGTCTCATCTGTGGCTGCCGCAAAGGCTTCTCTTGAGCTTCATCACATTCAAGGAAAGAGGGGAATTTGGTTCTGCGGGGCATACCAAGGTAAGTCACTCCATCAGTTAACATTTAGTAATACATACATGGCTTGCATCAAGGACATTCAAAACACTGAAAGACATACATGGCTTGCATCAATTAAGCTAGTGTCTCTGTTTTATTTCAAAACGCTGTGTGGGCTGTGTGCATTCTAAATGCAGAGGTTGGAAGTGATCTCAAGATAGTTGTATCAATTGATGTAATTGTTTTGAAATCAATAAAAGCTTCCTTTATAAAAAAAAAATCAAGGACACTCTGACTTTGCGGCTTTTGCTGAAAGACAAAGAAAATGGATCTTTGCTGTTGGACAACTACAAAAGTCCAGTGTCCTACAGCAAATGAACTACTCACTTTTGTTGCAGTACACTAGATTGTGTCTTGCAGAAAATACTCATGCTTTTGTAGCATCCAACAATAAAGATCATTTTTTAGTGCTTTCATCAAAAGGCACTAAGTAGGAGTGTTCTCTAGCAAAATTTGCCAACTATTTGTAAGCATATCAGCAATTACAACACTGTGATTAGTTCTGAAATTTATTTATCTTCTGATTGGATAACAGGTTATGGCTTCCATGAAGATGGACTCAAGGTACTGTACTACAATCTGCGACACACAACCTGGCTACCAATGTTTGGATGGGATTTTTACTTTTGTGGTTCCATGTACAAGTACAAAGTATGTTGGATATATACAATTTCCAATATGACAGGAATTGATGCATGCCTGCAGGCTGGGAAAGCTGCAGCTCAAGATTTGCTTGGTAAGGAGAGTGGTCTTTTGGTGAACCCAAAACAGATGATCCTATCGTGGTCTGAGGCTGGGGCGCGTCTTCTGGTAGCAAGATTTCTTGGTCAATATGTATCTGTCGGCAACTTGGTGTGAGTTGTTCAACCAATTGACCAATATATCACAAAAATGTCTAATTGTGACTCCTCTGACTTGATTTATTCTGTCTAGCTTGCTTGAAGAAGGAGGCACTATGTTCAGTTTTGGTGAAGTGGGCAAACAATGCCATGTGAAATCTGTCCTGCGAGTACATGACCCCATGTTTTACTGGAAGGTTCTCTTTTCTCTATTCACGATTCTGGCCCTCTACTTTTGCTGGCTCTGATCTCTCACGTCACTTCAAATACATTCTTCAGGTTGCAACTGAAGCAGGACCTTGGCTTGGCAGACACCTACATTAATGGTTATTTCTCATTTGTAGACAAGAGAGAAGGTCTTCTTAATCTTTTCCTGGCACGATCTTACAATCTAGATAGTCAAGTCAAATAATTGGCACATGTTTTTTTTTTGAGGGATTAAATTGGTACATGTGCATAGAGACAGTCCTAATTACTTGTACATATATGGTGTTGTTTCCTGTTTAATTTTGGATTACATCCATGCTACAGATTCTCATTGCAAACAGGGACGCAAACAAGAATAGTAGCAGCGCTGCCAGTAAAAGGTTAGTCCCCTCCAAACTTCTCCATTTTTAAAATTAAAACCAAGCAGTATATATGAACTCTAGTACTAAATTCTACAATCAACTGCTAAGTATTTCCTTCAAAAAGGCTGCTAAGTAATCATGTACACATGTAATTTTATGGTCGTCAGGGGTTGGTGGACACCCCTGCTATTGACTGCTGGGGTTGCCTCCGCTAAATACTTCCTGCGTCACATATCAAGGAAAAATTCTGTCACACAAACACGTCAAAACATCTCTCAACACTATGATCTGGTCAGTAATGCTAGCACTTCTCATTCTGCTTTAGGCTCCCCTCTATGTTTACACTACAACAACAACAACAACAACAACAACAAAGCCTTTAAGTCCCAAACAAGTTGGGGTAGGCTAGAGTTGAAACCCAGCAGAAGCAATCAAGGTTCAGGCACGTGAATAGCTGTTTTCCAAGCACTCCTATCTAAGGCTAAGTCTTTGGGTATATTCCATCCTTTTAAGTCTCCTTTTATTGCCTCTATCCAAGTCAACTTCGGTCTTCCTGTACCTCTCTTCACATTACTATCCTGGCTTAGGATTCCACTACGCACCGGTGCCTCTGGAGGTCTCCGTTGGATATGTACAAGCCATCTCAACCGATGTTGGAGAAGCTTTTCTTCAATTGGTGCTACTCATAATCTATCACGTATATCATCGTTCCGAACTCGATCCCTTCTTGTATGACTGCAAATCCAACGCAACATACGCATTTCCGCGACACTTATCTGTTGAACATGTCGTCTCTTCGTAGGCCAACATTCTGCACCATACAACATAGCAGATATAATCGCCGTCCTATAAAACTTGCATTTTAGCTTTTGTGATACCCTTTTGTCACATAGGACACCAGATGCTTGGCGCCACTTCATCCGCCCTGCTTTGATTCTATGGCTAATATCTTCATCAATATCCCCGTCTCTCTGTAGCATTGATCCTAAATATCGAAAGGTATCCTTCCTAGGCACTACTTGACCTTCCAAACTAATATCTTCTTCCTCCCGAGCAGTAGTGCCGAAGTCACATCTCATATACTCAGTTTTAATTCTACTAAGTCTAAAACCTTTGGACTCCAAAGTCTCCCGCCATAACTCCAGTTTCTGATTCACTCCTGTCCGACTTTCATCAACTAGCACTACATCGTCCGCGAAAAGCATACACCAAGGGATGTCCCCTTGTATGCCCCTTGTGACCTCATCCATCACTAAGGCAAACAGATAAGAGCTTAAAGCTGACCCTTGATGTAGTCCTATCCTGATCGGGAAGTCATCCGTGTCTCCATCACTTGTTCGAACACTAGTCACACCTATAAAATATTTTCCTCATTCATAATGCCTCCAAAAATTAGCACAAAGTCATTTGCTTTTCTCTGGGTTGACTGACAATTTTGTTTCTCCGTTCACATTCATTATTTTTCTTCTTATGTTCATGCAAAGTAATGAATTCTTCTCGCTTTTCCTGGATCCATCAATGACTTACTCTTGCGCCATCTTCAAGGTTTGTGTTGTGATCAACTAGCTAGTGCCACTCGTGTGTTCGAGAGAGAGAAAAACTAGTGCCACTCGTCTCTAACTTGGTCTTCCAGCCTGTAAACAAAGTACTCTAGTACCATCAAGTACTGATTCTTGATATGTGCATGCATTATATGGTAGACGGAGGATGAAAGCTTAGAGGCAGCCCAGCTACGGAAAGTTTGCCTCCTAATCCACAAGGTACAACATACCGAAACTATCAATTTAGTTAATATTGGTCTGATAATAAATAATATCATATATATTCACGCATGCCTGATCTGTTGGATCATCAGTATACTACATGCTGAAAGTACCAATTTAGTTAATACTGGTCTGATAGTAAATACTCGCATATATATTCATGCATACATGTGTATTATGATTAGATGGATCACCAATGTGCTTCATGCCAAATCGATTGTAGGCTAAAGTGGAGCGAGATCACCACGTTCTTGAGATTGGTTGTGGCTGGGGCAGCTTAGCAATCCAATTGGTGAAGCAAACTGGTTGCAAATACACTGGGATCACATTATCAGTGGAGCAACTGAAATATGCACAGAGAAAAGTGAAAGAAGCTGGCTTAGAGGTTAGTGTGAATCAGTACCCCTTTTGTTCTGCTAATGATTATCTTAGTTGAGTTTTTTTTTTCTTTTAAAAAATGTTGATATTGGTTATGCATGGCAGGACCACATAAGCTTCATGTTGTGTGATTACCGTCAAATACCAACACGCCGCAAATACGGCAGGATCATCTCTTGGTTAGTACTTAGTACTACTAGCTGTATATATAGACTTGATTGATTTCTTGCAGTGTGGAGACTGCTATAAGTAACATAGCAGCTTGATTTAGTTTCCTGATATATATGACTGAAATATATAACAAGGGAGCTGATGCATGCATGAAAATGTGTTGATGGTTCAGCGAGATGATCGAAGGTGTTTGGCACGAATACATGGGCGATTTCTTCGGCTGCTGCGAGTCCCTTTTGGCTCAAGATGGCATATTTGTCCTGCAGGTATCTATATTCTATACACATAATGAGCTTTCTATATGCATCGCCGTAGACTCAACTGCATGGTTTGTGATTGACTAACTTGCACGGATGTAGTTCATCTCAATCCCAGAAGAACGGTACGAGGAATACAGGCGCAGCTCGGACTTCATCAAAGAATACATCTTCCCCGGGGGTTGCCTCCCTTCGTTGGCCCGGATCACGTCTGCCATGTCAGCAGCATCAAGGCTCTGGTACACGACATCGCCAATCATCTATCGCTCGATCCCTTCTGATTAACTATAGTATATGATGATCCAATATGTTGGAGTGCAGCATCGAGCACCTTGAGAACATTGGGTACCATTACTACCCAACGCTGATACAGTGGAAGGGACAACTTCATGTCCAATAAGGAGTAAGTACACAATATAACTCGCTACTAGCTACCAGTGCAGGCTGATGCTGCTGCCATATAGCATACATGTATTTCTCCTTGTCTTAATATATATATATGATGCTGAAAGAGAATACAATGTGTTATTCATTCTAGCACGGTATATATGATTATTGACATATTGATATTAACCAGAGGGAAAATTGGTTCTGTAGCATCGAAAGGTTGCGACCTCCGTAAAATACCACTGAAAGAGTTTGGCCCCGTAAAATACCACTGAAAGGTGCACACGTGAACTGAAAGTACCATTCTGTTAGATTTGAGCGTTAGGTCTGTTAACTTAGACCAAAATACCCCCAAACCGGTACAAGAGCTCTAAAAACATAAGAATCAAGCCTCAAACCTGTACAGGAGCTCTAAAAACATAAGAATGAAGTACAGGGCATGAACTGACAGCATTTCAACACATACAAGTCACCATATGCACTAAATATTGACCAAGCACATGAAAAATATTCTGGTTCAACACATGGACTAATATTGACCAACACATCTTGCAAGCACATGGCCAAATAGGTTCACAGTACAGGAACCATATTGGTCTGGTCCAACACATGCAGAACAACACATGCCCAAAATAGGTTCAGTACATGACTTTTTCATACAGCAACAGTTCAATAAAATGATTCAGGATCACACTAGCCTAGTTTATGATGACCCTCCTAGCAATGCCTCCTGGTGATGTATCCAGTTGTGCTGCCATTCGCTGGTGTGCCTGGTGGTCTTGTTGGTGTAGAAACAGAAGCTGCCATCCTTCTTGTTGTTGGTCCTGGACTAACTGGTGCTTGGATGGCTAAGGAAGTAGAGGGCTAGCTGTAGCTGTACCAGGTGATTGAGTGACTAAAGAAGTAGAGGTTATTCCTGTATCATTCTTTGAAGTACCACCTCCTCCCTTTCTTTTCCTACATAACAGCAATGTAATCAAGTCATTTTGCATGTAGGGTAATTCAGCTAGAACATGAAACTTGAAGTTCAACTTACCTAGGTTCAACAGCAAGTTCAGTAGGGGGCTCAGAAGAAGTAGATGTTCCTGTAGCATTCTTCTTGGACTTTTTGGAAGCATTCTTGCATTTTGAAGTACCACATCCTCCCTTTCTTTTACTACAGAACAGCAATGTAATCAAATCATTTTGCATGTGGGAAAAAAAAGAAATCGATTCTGTGGTAGATCTCATTTTATCCTTTGATGATATGAGATAAACCGAACACACTGATGTGTTGAGATTTAATTACATCTTCTATCATGGGCAGTCAGCTGGGCTTATGGTCCCGGACGGCAGTATGTCAGATCAGATCCGACCTGACATGGCAAGGTGCACCAATCTGTTATGGCAAGGGAAGCACAGCGAGGAAGGCCGGGGAATGCAGGTCAAGGGAGAGACGGTTTTTGGAAGAAAATCTGGAACATAGACTGTCCTCCGAAAATCAAGCACTTCTTGTGGAGATTAAACCACAATACACTTGCTGTTAGAAGAGTTTTGCAAAGGAGAGGGATGAAGCTTGATACAAGATGTTGTTTGTGTGGTAGATTAGATGAAGATGGGGGACATCTCTTACTGAAATGCAAGGAGGTGAAACCAGTTTGGCGTGAACTGAACATGGAAGATATCAGGTGCAGTCTTGCTGAAGCAGAGTCGGCAAAGGCGATGATGGAAAAGGTTCTCAAACTGCAACACTCAAAGCAACTAACCGTGGTGTTTGTACTGTGGATATGGTGGGATGAAAGGAATAAAAAGAGAGAAGAAGGCAGGCGAAGAACAGCACAGGAGGTGGTGTACATTACTGCTGCCATGGCTGATAGACTGAAGCAACAACCAGTAAGAAGTCTATTGTCGGATTCCCGTCAGGCGAAGCAGTGGGAGAAACCGTGCAGTGATACTGCTGCCCTGGCTGGCCGGCCCTAACCAACAGACTGCCCATGACATCTTCCAGTGATAGTCTAGTTTATAACCAACATATATATATACATACATACATACATATATTCTGGAAATATGAACAGAACCAATTTTTAACAGGTTGGCATTCTCCTATCTATTTTTTAGTTAGCATTGAATACCTTGACTTATAATCACAGAGACAAGTTCCTTAAACTCGATGCAACTGCTCATGAAGCGCTACAGACTGCAGGTTCTCAGTTTTTGGCATGCTCAACAAGGTTCAACAGTAGTTTTTGGCACTACAGACAAGTTCCTTAAACCTCTTTCTTTATTTACTTATTTTCTGAAAAGCACTGACTGCTTGCCTAGGTTCAGCTAGAACATGAAACTTGAAGTTTAACTTACCTAGGTTCAACAGCAAGTTCAGTAGGGGGCTCAGAAGAAGTAGAGGTTCCTGTAGACGCCTTCTTAGATTTTTTTAGGAGCTTTGGTGGAGTTTGAAGTACTTGGTTTTTCTTTCCTTTTCCTACATAATAGCAAGGTAATCAACAATTATACTCAGAAGGAATTGGTATTGTACTAAGTGATAGGAGCATAAAATTAATTTACCTAGATTTAGTAGGTATTGGTTGTGGTAATTCAACACCAAGTTCAGTAGGGGGCTCACGACAACCCTTCTCAATGTGCCCAAACTGGAAACATCTTTTGCATTGGTAAGGACCCCTTTTTCCTGGCTCACCCTTACTCTTCAGCCTTTTCACTCTTGGCCTACCCGTGGACCTTTCAAGCTTTGGAGGCAACATTTGAAACCCGGGATCAACAATAGGCCACTGTGACTTGCCAACCATTGGGTTCACCTCAAACTGATAAGTAGCCTTGAAACGATGAACTGAGTAGTAGTCATGCACATAGTCATCAAGTTTTATTTGTCTCAAGGAACCTATAAAGGCAATAACATGTGTGCAAGGTTTACCGGAAATATGCCACTGCCCACATGAACATGTCTTGCTTTCAAGATCCACAGCATGCCTCCAAGGATAGTTGTCCTTAGTCAATCCAGATACCTCAGCCTTGAGACCACCACTCCCCTTAATTGTGTACTTCAAGTTTCTACTCTTCATTTTTAGCTCATTTATAACACTAGGGAGAATGGACCCTTCAAGTTTGTTAGCTATATGCTGTCTCATAGCTATCTTTTCCATGATCATACCCCTAATTGTGTCCACGAGGACATCCACAGGGAACCCTTTGGCCTCTTTAATCCAGTTGTTGAAGGACTCTGATATGTTGTTATTCACATAATCAACCTTGCATTCCCCTGAGAACTTAGCTCGAGACCAAAGTTGTTTGTGCTCTGCTTGCAAGTAAGGAATTGCTGCTGGACAATTCTCTCCAATTTTGTTCCAAAGCCAGTGATGCCTCCTAGGAGTACATGCCCAAGCACAAGGCCACATGTACTTTAGCACATCTCCATCGAAGTGCTTTCTAAAATTCTGCATGAGGTGCCTAAAACACTCTCTATGCTCAACGTCACCTTGGAAGACGTCGTGGACTGCTATCTCTAAGCCTTTGCAAGCATTTGTGTGTGTTGTGAGTCCATGTGGAGTTCCAATTGCTCTCTTCAATTGCTTCAGAAACCATGTCCAATTAGCTTTTGTCTCCTTGTAAAAAAATCCATATGCCACCGGGTACATCCAATTATGTCCATCAATTGCTGTTGCTGCAGCTAGCTGTCCATTATATTTACCTGTGAGGTGAGTAGAATCAACCCCTAGGTATGGCCTGCAACCAGCAAGAAATCCATTCACACATGCTTTGATGGCCACAAACATCCTACAGAAATAGACTTGACCATCCCTTTTGTTCTTCTTGCAATCAATCTCTACTATGCTTCCAGGACATGTACCTTCTAACTTGGCTTTGAAACTCCATAACATTCTAAAACTTTCGTCCCAAGTGCCATGTAGGCCTTTTAGTGCAAGTTGCCTTCCTTCCCACACCTTATTATATGATATTTTGATCGGGAACTGTCTTTCAAGCTCAACTTGCAATTTCTTTGCTCCCAGGTCTGGAGTAGACTTGAGTACCTCTGTTGCTCTGTCAGCAATCCAGGCTTTGCTAGCCTCCTTACCCCTCACTTGGCTGGTGCTAGCACAGGTATGGCTAGAACCTATTGACACAACCTGAAAATAATAGAAGATATGGGATTTGAATTTAATGTTTAAATATGTAGAGAACATGAAAAATAAAATATTCTATACATTCTAAAAATTATGGGTAGAACATGAAAACAACAATTAGTATACCACGAAAGTGGGGCAACCAAGAAACAAAGCATGGTCACTGATCAGGAATAGCTAGTGAAATCAGATACTTCTATTGTGCTACAAAGATTATATAGAGAAAAATTACAAGTCGCAAACAAGTAAGGAGAATAAAACCAAGGCATAAGGATTTATATTCTTTTAGATTCTTTTTAAGATCACAGGAAAGCCTTGAACTAAAGAATTATGATTCTACAGCAATTAAGTAGCAACACCGTAAATTAATTAATGGTTATTATTTATGCTTTAAGGTTTTTTCATTTTCTTTGCATTGTTTCCTTAAGCTGTTATAAGCAGACTATGAAAGCAATTAGTAAGGTTATAGTCTCGCTCGTTCAAGTGAAGAAACTGAAAAGGATAGCCAACTGGCTACAAATTGGAATAAGGAGCATTACCTAACAAGCAAAAATATCCAAAATCCCTTGAGAGAACAAGGGATAATGTTTTCAGCTAGTAGTTTTGGTTAGCCTTTGTTTGGATGCAAGAATTTAAAAAGCCGCAATTTTGATTTCTCATAGGAACTTCTCAATCAAGTATCTGTTTTAGTTCACCCTGATCCTAAAAATCTTGAATTTACTGCCCATGCTTAGGACTGTACCACACACTGCAGTTTGATCTGCACTGCGGCAGATATTGATCAGGTACACCTAAACGTACTCTGTACCATGGCATTAACTCTATTAACTCAAAGAGTCCTTTTTGTACAAATCATATCCAATGTCCTTAAATCATCTAGGACCACCCCGTGTTGTTGTTAAGTCTCACTGTACAGCATCATGATCATCAATAATGGAGAAAATAGTGTGATGAAATCTTAAATAAATTGCTACAAATACGGTTCTTCAGTGTAACAACCAAATTGTTATCATAATATCATCATTACCATGATGCAGGCATCTTGCTTTAGAAGCACTTGATAATGAATTACAGGAAGTCGTTAAAATAATAAGAGCATTTCAGCTTCAATTACATGTGTTACCGCTGATTTTGGTAAGTTGTTTAAATATGTAGAGAACATGAAAAATAAAACATTCTGTACATTCTAAAAATTATGGGTAGAACATGAAAACAACAATTAGTATACCATGAAAGTGGGGCAACCAAGAAGTTTCTTTGCATGAACTTTCCATCCACACTCTGAATCTGCACATCTTGCCCTATATCTTGATTTATCACTATGCTCTACAAATGTTTGAAACTCACTTTTTATGGCATATTGCTTAATCATCAGTATGAAGGCCTTTTTGTTAGTAAATGTCGAACCTTCCTTTATATCAGGGTTGTCTCTGTCATATGCAGTGAGTGCAACATATGGAGCATCTTGCATCATGGTGGCTTCATCACTTGGCACTGCCTCAGGATCTGTAGCTTCAGTTACATTCTTGCTGCTCTCTATTTTTCTTCTTTTCTTGCTGCACTTTCTCATTGCTTCCTACTTCAGGTACCTTCCTGAAATACCTCCACTCTTCATCAACTCCAACTGGATCATCTCCCTCATGGTCAACACCCGGCTCCATATATTGGTCACCTTCCTCCTCCTCTTCTACTCTAGAAGGACCAGCAGCTGTAACACCAAGTTGAGGTTCCATGGCCCATTCTAGACCATCCAATTCTGCACTCACATGCATCTCCTTGAATTTTTCTATGACCTGGAGTTGTAAGTCATTCTCTTCATCTGTCACTTGTCTTTCATTCTCAATCAAAGCCATATCAACATGCTCACATCTATCTACGGTCATGATAAACTCCACCATTTTTTAGGCTCGCAGCAAAGTTAGAAGCTCTTGGTCCGTACCAAGGCGAATTGTTAGATTACTCTCACCCACAAACCAAAAGTTTGCCTCCTGATAACTAGCCCAACTAAAGTGCTTGAACACATCATTCTCCATATCAATGATGGAGTACTCTTCTGCATCCACCCACCAGTCCAAGCATCTACCCTTTTTGTACACAGATCGACCATCCTCAACAGTTGAGTAGGAAGAAACATCAATCACTACTCGACATACATTGTTTGGATCGATCCTGAAATAGTAGCAGTGCAAAAAAATTAGCACTGCTTCCAGATGCCCTTTCTCATCGGTGACCATCCTCATACCACGTGAAATCGCACACACAAATCGGACTTCGTAACTAATTTCAGTTGTACTACGAACCATGAAGTAGATAGCTAGGGTTTCATTCTTACCCGTCGGGGATCTCAGATCGATGCATTGTTCCACCGCATGCGCACTGGAGGAGTCACGGCCGGCGCAACACGCAGTCGAGGAGGAGGAGGTGGTGGACGGCGCAGGCGGCGCGGCCTCCGCGTGACGAGCGGCCCGCGGCGGACGGCGCGGCCTCCACACGGGGAGCGGCCTGCGCGCGAAGAGGAAGCCGCGGCGGCCAGCGTAGGAGGCCCTCGGAGCTCCCAGGCGGCCGGCGGATGGGTGGAGGCGGCGCGGCCTCCGCACGACGAGCGGCCCGCGGCAGACGGCGCGGCCTCCACACGGGGAGCGACCTGCGCGAGGAGAGGAAGGCGCGGCGGCCGGCGCAAGAGGCCCTCGAGCTCGCAGGCGGCCGGCGGACGAGCGGAGGCGGCGCTCCCAGGCAGAACCGAGCGCGGCGCGGCTGTCTCACTTGCGCGGCGCAGCTCCCGTATGAGGACAGGGATGAGGATAAGGCAAGGGCAAAAATGTCACTTAACTTTTGGAGTCTAGGTCAAATTAACGCTACTGAGTGAAACTTGATGGAGTGCTATTTTTAGTTTACGGTGACAACTTTCAGTGCTATTTTACGGGGTCAAACTCTTTCAGTGGTATTTTACGGAGGTCGCAACCTTTCAATGCTACAGGACCAATTTTCCCTTAACCAGATTATAAATGTTGCTCTGATCCTGGTGCAGTGCAATTTTGGCCCTGGGCTTCGATGAGAAATTCATCCGTATATGGGAATACTACTTCATATATTGCGCCGCTGGTTTCAAGTCACGGACACTTGGGAATTACCAGGTATGTACGCGTACAACTACGTCTGTTCATGGATTTATACCAGCAGTAGACATGAATACAAATGGATATCATATTTGCAGATCGTGTTTTCTCGCCCTGGCAACGACAAACTGGGTGACAACGGCGATCCGTACGCAAGCTTTCCGGCAGCTAATCAAGCTAACTAAGCTAACGCGTCTACTTATACATCACATGCCGTGCGCGATATTTCTTTTGAAGGGATGCGTGTGTGATTTTTTGAACCGAATGCGTGTGTGATTCATCGATCAGCACTACAGCAACCACTATTATTCATTCCGTTAATTTAATTCCGGTCACATGCATGTATGAATGTGTGAACTCAATGCAGTAATGCAAGGATTTATATGAATATATATATATATATATATATATATATATATACACACGGTAAGACTATTCTACAGCTGACCACAGAATAACTTATTCTATGACCACCTTGATTTACGATAATGTTTGTACCAATTTACGATAATGACAATACACATTTACGATACATGGGTTATTATGATTCAAGATGATACTTACCATAATGCTATAGTAAATTACTTATGAAGGAGTTACTATAATCTCGTAAATTAGTATAATAATCATCGTAACTTAAAGTGGCCACATAATAACTTATTATTCTGTAGCCAGCTGCAGAACAGTGCATATATATATTTGGTGGTAGCTGGATCAGTCGGAGCCTACACTACTTCAACGTGAGCCCTTGTATTCGTGATCCAATTGAACACGCAGTACTGTACTACTATGTGCGTCACTAACTGATTGTACTTGCAACGGCGGATCAGTCCATTGCTTCGATCCATTTTGCTGTTCCATCACTTTCAATTCGCCCAACGAAACTCCAAAATGACTAATCTAGGCACATGGCCGGCTGGGACGCAGGAGACTCGAGCATTCACTGTCACTCGAGATATCTGTGTATTGTGTGCAGCGCTGTACGTACTGATGGAGCCCAAGAACGCGTAACGTGCGTTGCATCAATACGGTGCAGTAATTCCGTGTGCAGCGCACGTACAAGTAGTGCAACGGCGTGCACATGCAATTCACTGAGCCAGCTCATCTCTTGGGACGCGGGGGGCACGTGTACACCTCTCGGTGTTCAGGTTCAGCACCTCCACCCTCGTATATATCTCTCTGTATGTATCCATCTGCTAGCAGCAGCAGCAAAGAGCGAGCTAGACAGACATGGCGGGGCTCGCGACGATGCTGGCACTGCCATCATGGGCATCATCACCCGTGCCGCCGGTGAAGCTTTGCTTCAGCACCACCACCAGCAGCAAGAGGACGGCGAGCGCGATGCCGATGGTCAACAAGAAGCGCTTTGCTTCGTCGGCACGCCTCCCCGGTCGCGGCCGCGCCCTAAGGGCAGCGACGGCAACGGCGCCCACCTTTTGTGATGATGAGCAGCCGCGGCTGCAGACCGTGGAGCTGCTGCGGCGCCTGGGGCAGGACGGGTGGGTGGAGGACCAGATGCTGTCGCTGCTCACTCCCGTGGACGAGGCATGGCAGCCCTCCGATCTCCTTCCCACCTTCGCTGCCGCCGCCGAGGAGCAGCGGAGCCAGGTGGCGGAGCTCCAGGCCCGCGCGGCCGGCGTGCCCGACGAGCTCCTCGTGTGCCTCGTGGGCAACATGATCACGGAGGAGGGGCTGCCCACGTACATGACCATGGGAAACCGGGTCGGCGCGGCGGAAGGCGCCAACGACACCACCGGCTGCGACGACCACGGCTGGGCTCGCTGGCTGCGCGGCTGGACCGCCGAGGAGAACCGCCACGGCGACCTGCTCAACCGGTACCTCTACCTGTGCGGCCGCGTGGACATGCGCCAGGTGGAGAGGACGGTGCACCACCTCCTCCGCCGCGGCATGAGCATGCTGGAGCCCTCCTGTCCCTACCACAGCTTCATCTACGGCGCCTTCCAGGAGCGCGCCACCTTCGTCTCCCATGCCCACACCGCCAAGCGCGCCGCGCTCCACGGAGACGCCTGCCTCGCCAAGCTCTGCGGGGTCATCGCCGCCGACGAGAAGCGCCACGAGGTCGCCTACACTAGGGTGGTCGCCAGGTCCTTGGAAGCCGACCCGGACGGCGTGGTGCGGGCGCTCGCGGCCGTGATGCGAGCCAAGGTCACCATGCCCGGCGAGCGCATGACTGACGGCCGCGACGACAACCTCTTCGATCACTTCTCGGCGGTGGCGCAGAGCGCGGGGGTGTACACGGCGGCGGACTATGGCGACATGGTGGAGCACTTCGTGCGCAGGTGGAAGGTGGCGGAGCTCGGGGGGCTGTCCGGAGAGGGGCGGCGCGCGCAAGACTACGTGTGCGGGCTGCCGCGCAAGATCCGCAGGACGGAGGAGCGGGCCCACGACCGCGCAGCCCAAAAGGAGACCCAATCCGTCAACATCAGCTGGGTGTTCGACAGGCCCGTCCGTCTGAACTGAAGGAAAGTTGAAGGCCATCCCACAATCCTCAACTGAAGAAGGCCCAATTACTACTACTGGAGCGTTGGAAAAGCCTGGCATTGTACCTTATATTGTAACTGAGCTTGGCTACATATTATGGAGTCTACAAGACTACAACTATAAATGTGCAGCTCTCAGATCACAAACTATATATATATACATATATAATAAGGCTTAGTAAGTCTCCGTGATGAATAAAGCTTGAATAATTATTACTATATAATATAAGAATGAAATTGTTGCTAGCCTCATGTTGATTTGCAGAATTCATTTGGTCCCAAGGACCGATTTCAACCGTGCAACTATATATGTTTACATGTATCAAATCACTGAGTGTAGTGTGCTAAAATCAGATCCACCCATCCATCCCTATCGCAAGGAAACTCTACAGACAAATCATACCTCTGAGAGTACAACACCTTTGCGCAGGTTCATTACTTGTATTTCTCCATTATCCTTCGGGCTTCTTCGACAGGGTCTTCCGATGGGTCGCCCATTGCTTCATCCAACCTAGAGCCGGAGGCCTCCTTTGGGTTCATAGCCAGGAAACCGAGATATATGAGGCCCATCATTGCCTGCGACCACAAGAATCATCATTTGGTGGTATCAAGTACCATCAAAACTGAACCACAGAAGACTGGAATGTCAAATGGATGGCCTTTAGCTCTCGTAAATATGTCAGTTACTGGAAGTGCAGGGTACATTTGCTATTTGTCAAGTAAGTGATTACAGCTACTACATGACTAAAGGTCATTCATTATTGAACACAGCACATTGATCATCGATGGCAGGAGAATCATACCACAAATGTTGTGATTGCTTACCAGAACAAATAATGCAGTGGACACAACGGATTTAACAAGGAAAAGGGCGACTGCCACAGCAGCAAAGGCAACACCTATCCTAGCAATTGGTCGTGGAACTGAACCCTGTCACACATAAGAGGGGGATAATCAGTCCAATTTCAAATCTTAAAGAAAAATCAGAAGTAGAGTTTCTTGTTGTCAGAATATTTTCTTGAGATCAAAGCTTCAGGAAAAAAACATTTTCTTCAGAGCTAAGAGGACGATAGCTTAAGCGATATGAATGGCCAAGGAGTACATACTGGGACAAGATTACTTCCTGCCTCCACGGCATCGTTACCGACCCTCCATGCTGTTTGAACAGCTGTTATCATATATGTAGTGTTAAGAGAATAGCAGAATAAGATTTTACATATACTTCATTACTTTAAAAAATACCAGTCAGCATATCATGCTCCTAGTCCTAGAAGGACAATAAAGACTACAGAGGCATCCATAGAAATATATATGTGACCCAACATGAGGACTTACAAGTGTACAGATAATTTCATCAGGGACAAAATCAACGATGAGTCAGCAGGCAAGACAATATTCTGTATATGTAAATGGTGGCATTTTAGGTTAGCATTCTTTACAGTTTGCAGTTCATACTTGATGCTTGGTCCTGAACCCTGAAAACTGAGTGCAGGAGCAGCAGTGCATCCTGAGAGGTGAGAAGGGGTGGGGAAGGGGAGTTTTAGTATTGTACCAGAATCAGATTGTTGTGTGTTTGATGTGCTAGAAAAGCTAGAAATAACAAACCAACGAACATTTTGCTGGCATGAGGTGTTGACTGTCAATGGCCCTTAACCTGACAACCTAACGCAATACTAGCACAATTAGTGTCATCTTAGCGCATGGATATGGAACGGAATCACAGAACCCTGCAGCATACATCAGCTGACAATGCATCGATGATTGCTTGTGACTTCAGAAGATCCAGTAATCCCTCTGCCGATTTCAAGATATGCAAGTTGCGACCACAATCTATGGATTAGTTGTAACGACACGCAGACACAGTCACACAAGTGATGCTGCCAGGTTGAATAAATAAATTGCTTCAGATATATATACTACTCCATCTGTCCGTGAATAAATAGATTCCTAGAGTTTTCCTAAGTCAAACTTTTTAAACTTTAACTGAATTTCTAGAAAAAAAAAGTTAAGATTTATGGTATCAAATTAGTATAACTAAAGTTACTATAGAATGTATTTTTATAAAGTGCTCATTTTATGTCATAAATGTTGTTACTCTTTTCTATAAAGTTAGTCAAAATTAAAAAAAAAGTTTGGGAAGAGCTAATTTTGCAGTTACGAATAATACTCCGCCTGCTGAAAGAAAATAATGGCATCCAAGTCGTCCTCGCGAGTCACAGCAACAAGAGAAGAGAAAATACGTGAGGTACGGTACCTCTGGAGAAATCGAACTGCGCGGAGGCGACGACGAGGCGCGGCTTGTGGGGGATGGTACTAGGAGGCGGCGCCCGCCTCGGCATGTGGATGCAGATAGGGGCCGCCAACGGAGGGAACGGAGAGGCTAAGACTCTCCGGCGGGAGGCGGTCGACGGGAGCCAGGCGGCCGCCGCGGTCGTGGCCATGGCGAGGGCGGAGAGTCGGAGAGAGCCTGTGCGGTGCCGCTGCGCCGGTGCCCGGAGGCCGGAGGTCAGGACACGGAACTGGGATAGGGCTGACCGGCTGAGCCGCTGGGCTGTCAACGAGCCGAACTCCAGCGAGCCTGGTTTGAACTTCGAGCTCGGCTCTAGTAAGCTTTCCTCACTTTATCAGTTCCAGCTCCAGGCTCCGGCTGCTGTTTACTTTATGGTACATATATGTATAAAAAAAATATGAAATCTTTCTCCAGAACCAGTGTTGCATTACCTCCTTGGATTTGGTATCATCCGAGCTCTCCCAACTACAGGCAGTCAAATAAATATAATGATGAAGGCTGCGCCAGAGAAGCTAGCAGTTTTGGATAGGAGCAGTGCTCCTTTCAGACAGTCCACACATTTCTATTTTTCAGATTCAGAAATCAGAAGGGGGAAAAAAGCCACCACGATACGCAGGTAAAAACATATTTAGAGATGATAGTAGTTTGTTACTTGTCACACGAGGTTGAATTGTGCAATAAAAACATTTCTAGGATATAATATTGTGTCAACAATGGGATTACAAATTTCTGGAACAAAGTATTTATCAACACGCATACAGGATGTACTGAATCTCGCAACTATACAATGCAGTTCAGAAAACCGTTTTGTTAACGAGGAAAAGGAGAGCTACTACCACAGAATTAGACCCTAGAACTCCCCAGCTTACGCTCGAAGAGGCGGCGCATGAGGTAGACCTGCACAACGCTGGCTGCAACAAGGCCAGCTGATTCAAAGAGTGCCTTGTGAACTGCCCTCCTGCTCATGTTCTCGTTTACTGCATCATGATATGGAAGGAAGACATTGCACGTTTAGCAACAATACTGAGCTGTGAACTGGTAGCTCATAAGTCATGGAAACAAGTACTATGCACCGGAAGAGCTCTGACCAAACGTGAGGTTTACACAAAAGGATTGGGCATGCATTCTCATGTTCCCATGGAGCTTATTAGTGGAGAACAAGAATACATTAGGGTTCTCAAAATTGCAAACTAGACATGCCTCCCCAATTTGTTAATATGCAGCAACTCTAGCTGAACATGGATGTGCAACCTTATGCTCAGGGGACTGCTTATGCTTGAATTGCAGGCTGAACATGTTGATCAGGGTAAACGATCAAGAGTCCCTTTTAGGAACTAAGAGCCTGATTGGTTGGTAGCCAAAATTTGGTTGCCAAAACTTAGGCAAGCTAAAATTTTGGCAGCCATTTGGTTTGGTACCAAAATTTGCCAATACCTCACAATTTGCATGCCAAATTCATGGCAAATATTTTTGTCCTAGTTTTGGTAATTTTTTCTTGCCAAATCTTGGGCATGGCAAATTTTGGTAGTCAACCAATCAGACGCTAAATCCTTTTCTGATGAGGTATTGACTATGTACGTATTTGAAAAGGGCGATAAAAAGGATAACATATTATAACTCGTTAGTATTTCGACAAGAGAGCGTGACAAGAGTGGCTTACATATCGCTTGGCGGTCTGTTTGGGCCTCAAGCCAATGCTGTTCGAACTGAATGTTATAGAGGGCTTCATCCAACTTCGCGATTTGTTCAAATAAAGGACCAAAATGCTCTGCATTTTTTGCACAAGGATTGGGATCACCAAACATTTTGCTTGCTACACAACTTAAAAGAAGGATACGGAAACTCAAGCCATACCATCTTTAGCATGCTGTTCGAAATATGAAAAATGGCCAACATGCACATCGAAGTCCACAGTTTCATGATACGGTGACTTATTAGTGAAACAGAAGCGATGAACGCCTCTCTTTTGAACTATGAATTCAAACTTATCACTAGTCTTGTCACGAGAATCATAGATTTGATCACCTGTAGGATTTTTAACCTGCCATAAATCAAGATCGAATCAGCTTTGTTGTGGATGTGGCCAATAATGATAAATTGCTTACTTAACAGAAAATGTAATGAATTGCTTCTGTATTACTCCGTATAAAGTAATCTGAATGAAAAGGTAATGAATTAACACATATGAAACACCAAAACAATTTATCTGAATGCATCATGTGTTCGTGCTTAATAATATTAAATCAGGGACGCCTCAGCATACACCAATCAGATGAGATCTCTGTCCATTCTGCTTAACTAATTAGATATACATCGGCTGACATACAAAACAAACTACTAATTTGATGGAAATCAATCCTAACTACTCTACTCTGAGGAAAAAAGGATGAGTACAATAACTGGTAACCAACCAATCCCAACCGGTTAACTGATTCCAACCTTAAAAAAAGAAGGTTGCTTCCTGAAAAGAGTAATAAAATCTAATGCTAGAGCTTGACTACTCACTGCAAAAGTAAAATCTGGTTACAACTAAGAAGCAAATGAGTTGAGCTAGTAAGTTGAACTTGTGAGTTGTGACACCGAATGGATGATAGGATTTCAAATACATTCTGTGCCCACCTTGTTATTTCTGATTTATTATGCTGAATGTTTTAACTGACTGTCAAACAACTGACATAACTGTAAGCCCG